TCCCCGATTGATGATCTCTTGCCTGGTAGATCTCATTTTTCCTCCACCATGACGGAGCTTGATCATACCAAAGTATATGACCATCTAGCCAAATTGGGCTACGAATATACAGAAATGTTTCAACGCGTTCGCGGCATTCGCCGATCTCTGGGACAATCAGTCGCGGAGATTGACTGGGACCATACGGCGGACAATGAATACGTTCTTCACCCAGCTTTGCTAGACAATGCCATTCAGGTTCTATTCTCTACCTTTACAGATCATCGCGATGAAAATATGTGGAATCTTTACATGCCAGTATCTGTTGATCAGGTGACCTTGGACTTTTCTCTCTCCTGCCCTGGGGTTGAAGGGACATTCAGCGTAGAAAGTTATTTGCGCAAGGCCGACAGTAGCGGTATTTGCGGGGATGTCACTCTTTTCAACTTCTCTGGGCAAGGAATTATCCAAATGGAAGGACTTAACACCATGCCTGTGTCGCCTGCTACCGAGAACAATGATTTGGTGCTCTTTTCAGAGACAGTATGGGGAGTTTCTGAACCTAACGGCGAGTTAGCGCTGGGTACTCGCAGGGCTTCCCCTGAGACTTTAACAAAGACTCTCGAATGGGAGAGAGTGTCATTGTATTACCTTCGACAGATCGGCCACGAGTTTATCGATCAGAAGACAGGCAACAGAATCCGAACAATCGAAATTGAACCTCATCATGGCGCCTTCCTGGACTACTGCTCTTGGCTCGAAGAAACTGTGCGTGTAGGACAACATCCTTATGCGTCACCATCTTGGTTATCTGACACAGATAAAGAGATTCAGCAGATTTGTTGCCAATACTCCGCTGAGGATATCGATTTCCGATTGATCAAGATGGCGTTCGAAGTTCTTCCTCCAGTCATCAGAAAAGATACCACAATGCTACAAAGCTTCATGGCGGATGATGCTTTAAGCGACTGGTACCAGAATAGCATGGTCTGTGCCCCAGCTGAGGAACCTCTAGGAGAAATCATCTCCCAGATTTCGCATCGCCATCGAGGTTTGAATGTACTTGAGATTGGAGCAGGCACCGGTTGTGCTACAAGATCCGTGCTGCCAGCATTAGGGTCGTCCCTCGCTCGCTACACATTCACTGATGTGTCAGCTGGTTTCTTCGAGAGGGCAGCACAGCAGTTCTCTACATATGCCGATCTTATGGATTTTAAGACCTTCGATCTTGACCAAGATCCCATGGATCAAGGGTTCATTGAAGGTACCTATGACTTGGTTGTTGCATACGCAGTTCTGCATGTGGCATCATCTCTTAGTGATGCTCTAAGGCGAGTCCGACGCCTACTGAAGCCTGGTGGCTTTCTGGTACTTGCCGAGGTCCTGGGAGATGGACCAATAGCTTTAGGCTTGATTTTTGGAGGGTTTACTAGCTGGTGGGCAGGCCGAGAGGAAGGACGACGGTATTCGCCAACCGTCTCGCTGGAGGCATGGCAGGAGGTCCTAGCCAACACCGGCTTCTCCGGCGTTGACACGCACACTCCGCTCAAGGATCCCATCACATGGCCTATCAGTGTCATGGTTTCTCAAGCAGTTGACGATCGGGTTCGATTGCTCCGTGAGCCACTCTTATCAAGCGAGCCAGTACTGGAGGAGTTGATTATCGTCACCGATCCTAACTTTCCATCCCATGATACCATACAACTCCTGAAGAAATTATTGGCTCCTCATGCGAGCCACGTTACTCATTTTAATTCCCTGGCTGAAATAGATGGCACGCCTTTACCAGCCAAAGCTACCGTGCTTAACATGGCTCATCTGGAGATTCAAACATCTGAGAAGGCATGGCGAGGGCTTCAAAATCTTTTGGGAACGCCTCTACTTATGCTTTGGGTCACGGATGATTATTTAAGTGGAAATGCGTCATCTGGGCTGTCCATTGGTTTGGCTCGATCTTTGTTACATGAAATGCCTCATTTGCGTCTGCAGATGATCGACCTGAGCCACGAAGCAAAATCTGACACGGTGGCATCATTAATCGCAAGTAATCTTTTACGCCTGGCAAAAGGTCGCGATAATGATGAACTCTGGACCACGGAACCTGAGATGGTTATTGATGCAATGAGTCGGGTTCTGATTCCACGTCTACAACCTCTAAGAACGGCCAACCACCGGTTGAACAGCTGGAGGAGGAAGATCACCGCTCCGGTTCACGTGGATGAAGATGAAACTGAATTGAGATGGCAGAATGATAACTTCATGCTGGTCGCAAAGGGTCCCCTTCACTCCTATCAAGGCAATTCTCGTGTCATCCGCACGACACGCTCGGCACTAGCAGCCCTACCTCCCCATAATTTGCCAGTATATCTTAATCAAGGCGTGGACATCCTTTCGGGAGAAGTGATTGTCGCCGCTTCTGACACCTTGTCATCTATTCTGACTGTCTCGAAATCTCTTTCAATTCCTGTTGATCTTGAGACCTCCACCCACCCTCAATACCTAGATCTTCTGGCTACCGGCCTGTTGATCAAGTCCATTGTCGATAAAATCACCCCCGGAAATCGTGTTTTGCTTTATGCCGGTGACTCTAATGCAGCGACTTATGAAAAGTTTTGGTCATACCACTTGCATGCAAAAAAATTCCAAGTACACTATGTGACTGGAACAAAGGAGTTGGCCACCACCGCGTTATGGAAATACTGTAATCCACAGGCTCCAAAACGACTCATTACATCATCTCTGCCCAAAGGAATTGACACTTTCATCAATCTCTCAGAAAAAGATGCTGCAGCCAAAGTGCTAGACGCTCTGCCTCCCCATTGCCAGCAATTCACATCTCCTTCGGCGATGATGACTACATCTTCAATTCCTTCCCTTCAGCCAATACAAGACATGACTGAGCTGCTCACAAGCGCTCATGCCGTTGTTCAAAAGTATATCGAATTAGATTTTACCGTCCAACTCCCGGAGTATAGCATCGCAGAGCTACTCAACCGCAAGCCCAAGGAGTTCTCTAGCGTCCCGATCGTAAATTGGTCGTGCCCGACCCCACTCCTTGCTGATTATCAATCGGTAGATATATCAAAGCATATTCTGCGCCCCGATCGGACATACTGGCTTGTTGGATTGACGGGAGATATGGGACAGTCTCTTTGCGACTGGATGGTCTTACATGGTGCTCGAACAATTGTTCTTACCAGTCGACAAGTTCGCATGCCCACTGACTGGGTTGACAGACATCGGGATGATGGAGTCAATATTGTTCCTCTAGCATGGTATGTAACTATTTTCCCCGCTTCCTTCTACTATTTGATACAAGAGCTGACTGTACTAGTGATGTCACCAATGCGGCTTCTTTGAAAGAGATACACACCGTCATCACAAACGAACATCCCCCTCTCGATGGCATAGCCAGCGGTGCAATGGTGATGCGCGAGAATCTCTTCCAAAAAACAACTGCGGAAGAATTTAATCAGGTCATCGAGCCCAAGGTACGGGGTCTACAAAACCTAGATGATATAGTTGGCGACCAACCCTTGCTATTTTTCATCGCCTGCTCTTCAGTCCTGGCAACACTAGGTAATCTCGGACAAAGTGCCTACACAGCCGCCAATGTAGCATCCGAGGCACTAATCGTGCGCCGGCGACAGCGCAAGCTGGCTGGCTCAGTAATCCAGATCTCCCGTATGACAGATGTTGGATATGTGAAGCGCCAACGATCAACATACTCGGCACAGGAAATGAAACGATTGGATGCATACTGTCTGCCCATGGGTGAGCGACAGCTACATGCCTTATTCGCTGAAGGGATTTTGGCTGGTCGGCTGCAGTGCAACTCCATGCCTATTATCACAGCAGGAATTCCCAAAATCCCAACTGATAAAGCGCAGAATGCGGCTTGGATGAAGAATATTCGGTTTTCGCGCTACTGGGAGCAGAGACCGTTGCACCAGGATGATCGAGTTGAAAATAAAACAGGCAATGCCTCGATTCGAATTCAATTATCAGAGTCTAAATCTACTGATGAAGCAGAAGTGATCGTCCGGGGTAAGTGGGCACCGTTTCTTCAGATTAGCAACTATACTGATTCTTTCCTAGATGGTGTCATCACCAAGATCCGAACATTTCTTCATCTCCCATCCGATCAGCCTGTCGCAAAGCATGCAGCTCTGATTGACCTCGGGGTGGATTCGTTGGTTGCGGTTGACATCCGAGCGTGGACGATGACCGAGCTGGGGATTGATATACCGGTCTTGAGGCTTTTGTCTGGCATGACCGTGGATGAGATTGTTGGTGATGTCTTGGAGGCTATCCAGAAATCATGAACGGAAACAACGAAAAGTTTGGTAGGGCTCTGGGGTCATTGTAACGATCTGGTGTTCTCTAAGCAATCGATGCCTCAGATTTGTCTGGCTTGTGTGTAACTTAAAAACTTTCTAGATTTGTTATCATGATACAATTACAAAGACTATGAATGTTCTTCTGACGTTGCTCCCCAAACATTCTTTCAAAGTATTGCTCAGAGAGAGCTATGTGGAAAAATTGTAAAGCAATGATTTCACAAACAATAACACTCAACACTGTCGTTTTAAATCTTTACCAGGTTCGAAATCTACTAGGAGAACAGATGAGAACATTGAATCAGGCTTGAGGGGATGATATCAACGAGCATGTAACAACGTGATCGGGAAATTAAATAATTAAATAAATAGATTTGATTTTCTAAAATTGTTGATTGAGTGTTTGATATTTACAATTGTAAGTTGATCCAGAAGAGACAAAACAAATGCATATTAGGCTCGTATACGCACCGTAGTAGCTGCTACCCCACCATCCAAATTGATCCATCACCAGAACCTTCCATTGATAGCCATATATATCGACTCAAAGCCTCGAACAATAAACACGTAATTCTTACAAGTTTGTATCGACAATTACAGATATATTCTTGTAAACGCATATTTGAACCACCCTGTTCCTAACTTTGTTTTCGAGCCAGAAGGAATTCCAGTTTGCCCACTATGGCCACCACCAAACAACGTCTCGCCCTCTCCATCATTGATTTCCTCTCCACCTCCCTCACCGACGGTACTCTTAACGAAGAAGAGCGCGAATCCATTGAAATCGCCCAGAACTGTATCTCCGAGTCATTCAAAGTTGACCCTACAGATGGCACTCCCAAAGATACCCAAAACCTCCTCCAAATCTACAGTGTCTATGAGAGTCTAAGAAAATCCCAAGCCGCAGCCGCTCCTCCCAAACCCGCCGATGAGAAGCCCACTGGCAAAGAGCCGACCGCAGATGAAAAGAAAGAAGCAGAGGGTCTGAAGAGTCAAGGAAATGCAGCTATGGCTAAGAAGGATTATAAGAAGGCAATCGATTTGTATTCGCAAGCTTTGGCTGTTATCCCCGGCAACCCAATCTTCTTGAGCAATCGTGCTGCTGCTTATTCGGCGTCAAAGGATCACGAATCTGCAAAGGCGGATGCAGAGGCTGCGGTTGATGCGGACCCTAAATATACTAAGGCGTGGTCGAGATTGGGACTCGCAAAGTTCGCATTGGGGGACGCAAGAGGTGCAATGGAGGCTTATGAGCAAGGTATTGAGTATGAAGGAAACGGAGGATCAGATGCGATGAAGAAGGGATTTGAGACTGCAAAGAAGAGAGTGCAGGAATTAGATGCTGCGGGAGAAGATGATGAGGTCGCTGAGAGAGGCACGCCCGGTGCTGGTGCTGGTGGAATGCCAGATTTGGCTAGTTTGGCGGGTATGTTCGGTGGTGGGGCTGGAGGTGGCGGAGGTGGAATGCCAGATTTGAGCTCTATCATGAGTAACCCAATGTTTGCGAGCATGGCTCAAAACCTCATGAGTAACCCGGATGCTTTGAACAATCTCATGAGCAACCCTAGAATACGCGAGATGGCCAATCAATTTGGTGCTGGTGGAGGTGGAGGTGGAGGTGGTGCTGGGGGTAATGGAGGCGGAATGCCTGATCTTTCAAGCTTGATGAATGATCCTTCTATCGCTGAGATGTAAGTATTTCCTTCCCGGATTTTCGTCCTCTTTTGATCCGTTCCTAACAACATCAACAGGGCTAGAAACTTAGGTGGAGCAGGAAGAGGTGCAGGTGCTGGACGTGGTGCTCCTCAATAAACGACATTGCAATTAGTAGTTAACAGATTCCCTTGATGCGCAATTGGTTGATTCGTCGGACCTTCGTTTTACATCTTACATGAGAAAATGAATAGATACACACCACATAGTCATTGCAGGCAAATATGACTTAATGAGTACGCAGTTTTCATCAATAAATAAGTGTTTCAATCGATGTAAGAGAATCTGTGATGTCGTGTATGTTTTTACATGTAGTCTATATTTCTAGCCACGTAACCTAGCTGGTACACAGATTTACGCCTAGGATCATGTCGGCGTTCTTGTCAACAAAAGTAATGGCAGGGTGCCGATACCTTTTTACGAAAAGTATCAGATCAGAAATTAAGACTTGAGAGATGGATTGCATTACAATGAAGGACATATGGGCGGGAAAGCATCATTTTACCTTAAGGCTTGCGCTGGGGCAATGAGCTTGAATAAAAACCATCCATCAGATGATACCCAGGTATAGATGAGTTATGCTGTATAATAAATAACCTAACTCTTACTACCTATCTATATGAGGATTCAGAGAGCTTATACAAAAGAGAGGGATTATATTATAAACATTTTTAAACTTGACATAGCGACAATCGAGAGAATATTTGCAAAAGTTCTTTAATTCCACTTCATTCCATTACTTATCTGATGTTCAAATAAATCGCAAGTTCGACCTATGTGTTCTAGGAAGGATGTCAGATCTGAGAATGGAGGATAAGTGGGTTGACGGAGGCAGGACTGTATGTTTGAGCTAGTGTTTGTACTTGAGTCTTGATAGATGGATTTAGATATGATGTGATATTATGTTTGTGTTCTTTCTGTATTCTGTATAAATATCAAAGAGATGAGCATCCGAGGAATCTGGGGATCATAGAGGGACCGAGGGTACGTTCATCGTGAGTTTTAAGTCTTGAGAAATGTGGTGGTGAGATGAGGATTTTAGAATTGGTATATCATGGATGGATGTGTAGGTCAGGGTTGTGAGGTCAGATAGAGGGTGTGTCGTAGTTTGAACTTTGTATGGTGTTTATTTTTGAATGTGATGTAGGGAGATGGGACTTGAGAAACCTAGTATGCGTAGATGGTGGGATTAGACTTTGGAAAAGGCACCTAACTAGGTATATAGATATTTTCAGATTTTGGGGATAGATAGTCAAAGTTTTGTATCATATATGTGATGATTAGAGGGACTACCATGAGATATCAAAAACACCCATTATAAGTTTTGAAATTCCAAATGAAATCCATTCTTCATCTTCGTCCTCCCTTCCTCCCCTATTGGTTCTTATTCAGACATCTCCAACGACCGATTCGATATTCGGATGATCCATCTGCAAACTCCTTTTGGAATTATTATCCTATCCACTACTTATATGGAATACATCTCATACCTAATCAGTGGGCCGTGATCCAATCCCGGTTCCGTTTCCAAAGGTCTCCTACTCCCACCATTTCATGTCCATCCATCCGTATCTACGAACTTCTTCCCCTCTCTCTTTTCCCCTTGTCCGTCGCCCTCGACACTTTTTTCTTTTCCCCTCACCCTTCCCAACTTGATGTTTTGATAAATTTCTGTTCTTGATCTAAAGCAAGAAAGCTATGTCAAGGAAACAAGCAAGTCCCACAATAGCGAGGAGAATACCGGCTGTGTTACCAATCTTGGAGGAAGAGGGGAGCAGGGCTGCGCATTGGATTTTTGTTGTGGGGTATTGTTGGTCTGGATGCTAGACATGATGTAGAGAAGATAGAGGTGGGAGGATGGGAAGAGGTGATCAAGATAGAGGAATGAAGTGATACCGATCAAGTTGAAGTTGTCTACTAGATATGACAGAAATGAAGAATGGGAACAAGGGGCTGTATATGCTTTCAAGATGAGTCGGTCATTGTGTGAAGGGCGATGGCTGAAATAGTGGCAGAATTCCAATTTGAATTATTGTGAGCTGAAGCGTGTAGTCGGGGATAGCTACAGCAAGTTGGGTCGCTTGAGATGAGATTCTGACAATGAGAGTAGCCTCTATCGCGCAGGAAAAATGTTTAAAGGTGAGGAAGTAGAGAGATCAGCAGATGCCAACGACGTGAAAAACTAAGTACATATTGACGTTTGAGTTGGTGAAGTAGAATAGATGTTATTGAAGTTTTTTATTTTACTGTGGAGAACTTGAAAAGTATGCTTGTCTCGAACCTAGTATAGCTGTTTCCTTGATATTTCCATGAATACCCGACGCCAATTGCCCTGAGCAGTTGAGGGGCGATATCACTGCAATTTTTAGGACTATCAATTTTGTACTGGAATCTTGCTCTATCATCCTCTGAGAGAGATGAAAGGTTGCTTGAAGGAGCAAGAAGGCTAAGGTATAGATTTTCGAGCTCTCTGGTATATCCCGTAACGATGTGCTGGCACTGTGACGGTACAAAAGGCTCAACAGAATGACTGAAGGAAGTGATCAGGCCAAAAATAGGGTTTCTGAATGGAATATCGAAATTTAAGACATACGAAGGAATAAATCGCCACGATCATTGATGTGAAGACGGATATAATGCCTTAAAATCTAATTTTCAAATTAGTACCAACAAGCCTGGTCACACCCACCACACTCAAAAGCACGTGGCTTTACTCCGAAGCTATTTCCCATATCAAAAAGTGATGAGCCTCAACCCTTGAACGCTTCTGAGGCATGACAGGATAAACTCCTGATAGGGCTAGAAAGCATGTTCAGAGGTAGATATTAGGTGAAGGGATATACATAGACGCAAGCGAATCCTGTCGGTGCCAAGTTAGTACAATCAAAAGCCATTTTTGTGCCATAATGTCTCGATGGAAGTTCTTCAATCATCATCGGTAACCTCTCTGTCGTTCTTCGAGATTAATAGCTTACTAGCATGATCTTGCCTGCGCCATGATGATCTCAGTCGTATGAAACCAATATGAGTACAGAAATGGTAATGTGGCACTTCAACACAACATTGTCTCCAAACTGAGACTCTATGATAGCAGAAATCGTAAACTTATTCACTTGGTGACAGTATGATAGTATGTCAGTTGTATATGTAATCAAGAAGAGTATGTACGCATCGAGGATAGAAAAGCCGAGCTCTTGATACTGCAATGCGAAACGATATATGAAACTCCTATCGAAACATCTCCAAGCCCCGTAAATAATAAGCCACGATATAAGTCCACGTTGTGGCCAGAGAGAAAGTACATGTGAATTTTAACTGCGTGATATGAAAGATGCACTCATTCGATGTAAGACAATGACACAGACAACTGAATCTTGATCCTCACCTAGTCAAGCGACACCAGTCTCCGGAAAACTTTCCAAAAGGGATCAGAGATGATGTGAATGATAGAAGACGATGGAAATCATTCCCGGCCCAAACTGATAGTCTTTCTGTAGACCTTGGGTGAGGGAACAAAATACGAAGTGGTAGTCTTTTATCCAAACGAAGAGTCGAGAAAATTGAGACTAGGGATTTATTAAAGTTGAGAAAGTAGATTTAAACCAGCAGCGGTGACCCCGAAGAGGGCTGCACAAAGCCGAATTCGGTGACGGCACGTGATCGAGTAATGTGACTTGGTAATGGGGCATCGATATCTACCCCACCATCTTTACTATTCGTTGGAAAAATAAATTGATATCATACGAATTTGATAAAACAATTGCTTTCCGTCAATAGGACCTTACCATTAATCCTGTAAGATTCATTACATCCATCCGGCAGAAAGATAATCTTCCGTACACTGATATGGCACTTCAAAGATGCCATAACAGTCTCACAGGTATATTCAGTGATAGCCTCGAAATAGCCAAAGATTGAACGCATTGAAAAAAAAAGTCGTCATTGCATTTCATGGCATTCTATCAATCGTTAATTTACATAATTGTATCCTGACGCCTAATGTGAGACCAGCTCAAATCCCAAATTACTTCTCTTCTGGCCAAACGTTGTAACCGAAGGTATCCTTCATGTTAACGAATCTTGTCGCTCTTCCCTCTGCGACCTTGTTGACAGCCGCAAAATCTTCATCACTGAGAGTGATCAATTTCGCATTACCTGCGATTCTTCCTGGGTTGCTACTCTTAGGTAGAACGGCATAGCCTCTCTTCAATCCCCATGCGATCAGTACCTGCGCCAGCGAAGCACCATTCTTCTCTGCGATGGCATTGAGATCTTTGTTGGTAGAAACCTTCTCACCAGTACCGGGAACTTGGTCTTGGCTTCCCAATGGAGAGTACGCGACTGGTACAACATCCTTGGAAAGGCAGTAGTCGATGAGCTTTTGTTGTGGGAGGAAAGGATGGATCTCGATTTGGTTAATTGTTGGCTTAACCTCAGCGAATGCCAAAAGCTGCTCAAGTCCTTTCTCGGTCCAATTCGAGACACCAATAGCCTTTGCGAGTCCCTCCTTGTATAACTTCTCCATTGCTCTCCATGTTGGCTCTGGGTTTTCTGTCAAATCCTTCTTGATGACGTACTATTTTAATGTTAGAATTCTGGTCTTGCAGTTGTTGTTGAATGCAATGCGGTGCTTACCTTGCCATCAGCACCAATCTTTACTGATCTGTCCTCGTTCTTCTCTGCAGCAATTGGCCAATGTACCAAGAATGCATCAATGTATGGGGTTTGAAGCTTCTCTAACGAGTTCTTCAAGCTCCATTCGACGTCTTCAGGCTCGTGGAGGTGATTCCAGACTTTTGTGACAATGAAAATGTCGGATCTCTTCACACTTGGGTTGGCATCAAGGAACTCCTTTACGGCTGTTCCGACTTCGTTCTCATTCTGATAAAACCAAGCGCAGTCCAAGTGTCTGTATCCTGCATTCAAGGCTGCTACGACGGCCTTGTGTGTCTCTCCTACGCTACCCTCACTAGCAAATGTGCCGAAACCAAAAGCTGGCATTTGAACTCCATTGTTCAACTTGATCAAAGGACCTGTAACTGCTGGTGCTGCCATAATGTAAAAATGTATGTATTATTCTGAGTTCTATCGGAGGGGTAAAGAAGCGGGGTATAATTCGAAAGTAAAAAAATTCTATGTGTTTGTTTTCAGAAAAGGGTGGGATGAATTAATTGTATGTTTTCCTAGGTAAGCTCCGTTAGAATATGTAAGTAAATATGTATCAACAGAAGCTTCTAGTCATGGCACAAACTCTGCATGATTTCTCTTACTCGGGATCGATGATTTGATTGCATATGATGTCTCGTCTCAACATAACAGAATATGACGTATCATGCGGATTCATGCTCCTTCATGCCCCTCATAAGGTTTCTTTCTAAATTGTGCTAAGTCATGTAAAACCCACTTGAGTCAGGGTCCTAAGAGTGGATATAATGGTGGTGGGCACAATTATGGAAAGGAAGTGTAGACCGACAAATAGCTGTTGAGGAAAGCGTCCGGGTGAAATTGAAATTATCAATGGTGAAGGAGTGTACGTAATAAGAGGGTGGTAACTGCTGCTGTTATTTGGGTTGCTTGGCAATAGTAAATGTATAGTGGAAGTTGTAGCAAATGTGGTAAAAGGGCCGTAGATCGATCGATGCCGATATGAAGGAAAAGCCACTGGTAAAATTTCCTTTTTCTTCCTTGCAGTGTTCCTGTCTAATAAGAGACGGCGACATGTGGGAGGATATTTGTCGGGTTCAAAAGACTACCAAGGCTAGTAGTCAAGGCTGTGGCGGTTGGAAATCTCGGGGAGAAGAATATACCCAGATATGCAAGGCTTGAGAAATCAGACCAAATTTTCATTCCGTTTTTTCTTGATTTGCTGGGAAGCTCTGATGGCACGCCGCTTACTAAGCCGAAGAAAGGTTTATCCGAGCTTACGCCAAGACACTGGTAAACCTTATTTCCGCCCATTCATCAACTAAAGCACTCCCCGGGACCAAGAAATATATCCTCACCCTCTCATACAATGTGTGCAACATTATATCATCTGAAGCATAATATCCTTCATCAATACGATGCCAGCATACGGTTTCATATTCGGGTTACTTGTCTATTCAAGCAAGACAACAAAGAAATGAAGAACAACAATTAGAGCCAACGCATAAGTCAATTTGATTTCCTGCCAAAACTGTATGAGGTATCCTTCAATATTGATCGACATCGCATGAGTAAGATATGGTAAGAGTCAATGAAGCACACAGAAGAAATATGGATCGATTCCTTACCGTTTTAGAAACTACCCGTCGTGTATGTATAAATAATCAACTAATCGGGCATACTACGGTGTGTCTATTCTCACCTCACATTCTTTAATGTGGTCCCTCAGACGTCATGCTGGATCCCTTTCCCTTGACAACTTATCCACCCAAGCGCAATTCATGAATACAAACTTTCGCAGCCTTCCCTCTACTAGGTTATCCGATGAACCCACATTATTGCCTTATCTGAAGCACAAATTTTCAAAATTGGAAAACTACCTGACTTCATTCGCAGACGTAATTCCACCCATGACAAGGACAGCCTGGATAAGGTGAACGGGATCCGCTTTTGATACAAAACTTTTCCGCGCCGGCCAAGGCGGACTTGATGATACATACGAAGTACAGGTATTCATGTTTCAATATACTTTGACGGATCATGATTGTGGATCTTGGTGCATGCTTTTCGGCAAGTTGAAGACGATATTTCATTGCAAATACGGATCCAATCATGCAGTGCTATGAGCTCACTTCCTTCGGCGTCGGCGTCAATACAAGGTCAGTTCCTAACAAGTTATTCCTACTCATTCTCTAGCTTGGTTTCAAGAATCTGAATTTCAGATATATACGCTGTGCTCCCGCGCTATGTTTGTCTTCTCAACTTTATACTTCTGATTCTTCCTCATTACCGTTACCATATACAGATAATCTACTCTTCTACACCCAAATCTTATACCCCTAACTTCTAAACTACACTTCACTATGCCTGGTTTCGATGATAAAGATTTGGCTGCTCAAGCCCAGCCTGCCTCCAATGGAACCTCCGCATCCCAAACAGAACACAAAAGCTCAACAACTCCAGGTTTCAACCACAACTTGGTGGTTCCAGGTGATGATGAAGACTCTGGACCAATTGAGGTTCCAGCCTCAAGGTCCTCCGTCGCAGAGACTCAATCACTCATGCATTCATTGAGTCTTGAAAACAGAGCCAATGGACGTAGAGGTTCAAGAAACAGCTTTGGTGCTGCTCTTCCAATTCCCCGCTCAAAGCGTCAATCTCGTCTCTCATCTGTTGTCACCCAGGATCGACCTTCGAGACCTGGAATGCCAGCCATTCAACCAACCCGCGAGATCCTCTCCTCGCAGGTTCAAGACATGTCCAAGATCAAGACTGAAGCTGCAAAGAACATGGCATTCGCTTTCGATATTGATGGTGTTCTCGTTCACGGTGATCGTTTGATCCCAGAAGGAAAGAGAGCATTGGAGATCTTGAACGGTGATAACGAGCTCGGTATCAAGATCCCCCACATTTTCTTGACCAACGGTTCCGGAAAGGTTGAGCCAACTCGTTGTGCTCAGCTCTCCAAGATTCTCGGAAACCCTGTTGCAACCGAACAATTCATTCAATCCCACACTCCCATGTCCGCTTTGGCTGAATATTACGACACTGTCTTGGTTGTTGGTGGTGAGAACTACCAGTGCCGAGAGGTTGCTAAGTTGTACGGATTCAAGGATATCGTCGTACCAAACGACATCGTAGCCTCTATTCCTACCATCTCCCCACTCAAAGAGTTCTTCACCGCTGAGCAACGTGCTACATCCACTCCAAGAGATTTCAGCAAGGTTAAGATTGATGCCATCCTTGTCTTCTCTGATTCCCGCGACTATGCCACCGATCTCCAAATCATCATGGATCTTCTTCAATCTGAGGATGGTGTTCTCGGTACTCGTGCCAAGGACCCTGTCTCCCAACGTATCCCAATCTACTTCTCTCAAGGAGATCTCTTGTGCCCTAGCGAGCATCCAACTCCTCGTATGTCTCAAGGTACTTTCCGTATTGCTCTCGAGGCTATTTACAAATCCATCACCGGAGTTGAACTCGAACGTGTTGTCTACGGAAAGCCTGAATTGGCCACCTACAAGTATGCCGATGAGGTCATGGCATCATGGATGGAGACTATTCACGGAGAGGAGAAGTTGCCAGAGAACATCTACATGATCGGTGATAACCCAGCATCTGATATCATCGGTGGTAACAACTACGGCTGGAACACTTGTTTGGTCCGCACTGGTGTGTTCCAAGGTGGTGAGAACGACGAGGAGAACCCAGCCAACTTTGGTGTCTTCAACAACGTTTTGGAAGCCGTCCAGACTGCTTTGAGAAAGCAATTGGGTGATGACTTCAGAATGAACTGGAGCGATTCCATGAACCCAGTCGTTGGCGATTCTTCTGCTAGCGCCATTGAGTAGAGTATTTTTACGAAGACAACGAATTTTCTTGACACTACTATTATCGCATTTGCGAGCTTCTGGGGCATTTTCAATTTGTTCCGTTCCGGGACATGTATGAAATTTACGATTGATAAATTTGGGAAACAATTTTCAGCATAGGTGCTTATTGTTGTGATGGGAAGGAAAAAGGCGTTTCATAATTTTACAATATCTCATCGCTCGAAAGAGCTGCATGTTTAACAATACTATTTCATATTACGACTTCTCATATACGACCTTCTACTTGCAGATATTTTTATGTGATACTCTATGAATGAAAGGATTCCAATTTACTGACTTTAAAGTGTCGTTATTCTCTTGGTTATGGTCTGCGGTCCATATACTTGAGCAATATGCGAATTTCGTCTCCACCTCCGACGACATCTTCCAAATAGCAGGAAGCTCACCCAAGAATCTTTTCTCAATCTCAAGTGGTGATTGGACGGAAGCCTTCCATAATCTACTTTGATGCCAGACGAGAGAGCGCTCATGAAAGGAGAAAGTATCCCCGGTATCGGAATTGATGGTGAGCGATATAGGTAACATGAACCAATTTACGATGGGTAAGTGGACCCGATATCAGCATCAAGAGAGAAGAATGGAGGGCACAAAGAAGAGTCATGGATTTTGGTATGAAAGCTGTGGATATTGAGTTTCGGTGGGACAGTAAGAGGAGGTCGCAATGGAGTCAGTCATAGAATGTCAATAGATTCGCTCATACTCCATTGGTTATACACATATTGGATACTTATACGTCCATACTCTGAGAAGGTTACTGACTATCCTCCATGCCGTCTTCCCCAAGAACAAGGCTATTTATGTTTGGTGTCAGCTGACCAATGCTTTTGTGCCTTCCTCATTCACAGCAAACCAAAAATACCATCACTTCAGAGGTTTCTCCAATAACGAGCTTAAAAGATCTATGCGCATTTCAACACAAGCTATGGCTGGCCTCCTATCGAATCAACACAGTCATTCAGCTGTAAGCTCTCATAAATTACTTCAAAGTCATGGGTATCAGATATTCATAAATATGATTTTGATCTTTATGCCTTGAGGCATGTACTACTATAAGCGCCAACATCACTTAGTTGGTATTATCTCAACTTTTTTATCGTTGACCATCTGGGTGTTCGCTTCGATATCCAATGGAAGATATCGGTAATTTCTTCTAGTAATTCAATTGTTTTGATTTCAATATATCATGTAATCTTCTCGATCTACCTTCTTCTCTTCCATCACAAATTCTCATCACCACCTTCAACCCTCGAGACAACTACCATATACTCCGAATTGCCAGGCAACTTCTTTCCATCCTCCCAACGTTCTGCACTTCAAAAAAGCTTAATATATTCGAAACGCTTTCAGGACCCAATATGCAATTCGAAAGTTGGAGCAACCTCGACCGTAAATCACTATTTTTTCGAACTTCTATGATTGTCTTGTCTGCTATAACTGCTATTTTCTTTGTTTACATCGTCGTTGCTCTTAGCAGAAGATAGAAAGAAATTTGTGAGTTTGAATCACTCACTGCGTCTCGAGTTTAAAGAACTGACCAAGACTTTAGGAAATACAACTTCGAGAAAGTGTATGTTTGTCTCATGTCATCACCTTTGACGCCATCACAAGTACCTTTACATGATGAATATTATCATTGAAAGGGAAAGATTCTTTTACTAATCATTCAATGGACTTTAGATATACTCTTTCATCCACTGAGATTGAAAATCATACAGCAGATTAAGAGTTTGTTGGGACGTTTGAGCACGTGCAGCTCACATTTAACATCATATACCGCACAATCACTTGCATTGCATTTACTTTCAGTATGATAAGGTTTGTACATTCATTTATCAAATTTTATGTCTTCATCGTGTATTCTCTTGAATTGATAAAGCTTGGTGTTAATTACATTACTGATATGTTTGATGCTGAACAGAATCAACCCATTTTAATCTGCAGTCAACTTGAATCCGAACAACCACCACATCATCCGACAACTTGCACATTCACCATGGATCCGGACAATGAACCAGCCGAAGAAAGTCTTCCTTCAGTAAATCTGCTTCAACTAAACAATACTGAAGAATTCCCTGCACTTTCATCCAACCCAAAACTTTCCACACAAAAACCCATCGCCACCCCACCTAATTGGGGATCTTTATTTGCTTTGCAAGTGTCCAAAACATCTCAACCTACAAATCATTCTACACTTCCACCTCTTCCTGTTACGCCCACCAAAGAAATGAAATCCCCCAAAGGTGATTCCGGCAGCGAAAAAGAAACCCTACTTTTATCGCCCAGTACAGCAGAATGTATGAGTATTCTATCTACCGAAACTGGTGAAACGGCTGTTGAGGGAGAAGATGCCAATACTCCTTGGGATTCACCGACTCAAAATGGAGAAGTCGATACTACTATGTCGAAAGACGGAGAATTAGACAATGGATCCACCGTGCTTTTCCCGAATTTCATCGCAACAGAAACATCAAGCCCTTCACAAAAAGAAGTTCTTCCTCCATTTCAATTTCCAGCTGTAGCGGCAGAGTCAGAAAGTTATATTTACAGTGCTTCACCAGAACCCATTAAAACCAAAAATATGGAGGTTGAAGAACTATGCGAGGCAGAACGCCATGATACTCCTTCTTACATTAAAGGAGGTTTACCTTTATGGGATGTCGTTGTAAATGATCCACATAGAGTTATTCACGCCATCAAGCATATGATGCATGGCATTGTTGTTATGAACAAAGCAAAGGGTGCACCACCCCACGAAATCCAAGATATCGTAAATAGTCATCTAAGCACTTTGAGGCAGATTGAGATTTTAACAGAGAGGGAAGGGCTTGCGAGATTAGCACTTGAGATGAAGCAGGCAGCAGACAGAAAAGCACGATTGGCTTTTGAAAATGAACGTGCTGTCACTGCCAAAGAGATGAAGTCTTTAAAGTCTTTAAAGTCAGCTACCAAGTTCAATCCTGACGCGGTAAGTTTTGATCTGCTGATGTCTGCCGAAGAGAAAAACTGCTAATTGTGTCCTGCAGAAGCCTTTTGCTCCGTCAAAATTTGTGGCTGCAGATCTCAGGTCTCCCGCACAATCGTTTGCATTAGCACCTGCTATACAGAACCCATCTCCATTGAAATATTCCGTTATTCAACAACCGGGTTTTATGGTAGAACAAAGTCGTGCTCCATCTGCACAAGTTAAATTTCAGCCACTGCTCAACAGATCGAGAACTTGGTCTACACATCGCCCTGGGAACATTTCAATTGGTCCGTACAATCATTTTAATGCATGCAATCAGAAACTACCGACACCAATATTCCTTCAGCACGCACCGTCGCCCTACTTTATGGCTTCATCTCAGATCACATCGAATTCTCTAATTTATTCGGATATTCAACAGGAAGACATCATCCAGAATCCTCCCCATTTGCCAACTTCAGTGGAAGATCAAGATGAAACTGGTGGAAATGATAATATTTTGTTGGCAGATAAACCGCTCCTGCGAATACCTATTCCAGGAAAGAAAGATCATAAGTCTACTCCTACCTCACCGACTAAACAATTATCTGCAAACACTTCACTCAAAGCTACAAGCACCAATACTAGTCCTCGGAGAAGGGTCTTCAATGTTCAAACAACCTATCAACAACAAAAAGCCTATTCACAAAAGCTATTGTTGAAGAACTTTGTTCCTGCAACAGCCACAGCAGATGATATTAAGAGAGTTGAATTGCAGCTTCCGCGAACCCACCGCCATATATGTCCTTCTTCTTTGTCTTCTCCCGACTTTCAATGCCCAAAGCCAAATTGTATGCTTCAGCGCATCTGCCCAGATTTCACAAGCGAAAATGGCTGCTCATTTCGACCACCTCCTCTCAGCGACTGGCCTTGGAACTACCCACCCAGAGAACCCCCGATCAATCAATCTCAACAATGTCCATACGTACATATTCCAGGTACCTGTCTCCATTCCCTCTCTTTTTTCCGTATTCAATCAGAATCCGAACCTGCACCCTACCCTGCAGTATCAAACCACTATTGTCCCGTCCCTAAGTGTACTACAACCCGCTTTCACTCTTGGGGGTGCGCCAAAGATTGGAAAACAGGATTTGCAGTTAATGGCATCACACCTTGCGCTCCAACCCAGAATCAATTTTCTCTTGCAGAAATCAACACGGAATGGCGATGGAGAGTTTTGATGGAAGGTCTGCGATTTGCACATGAGAGAGGAGAATACGGTTGTCAAGGTGGACCTGTGCCGGTCAATGCGTCGTTTCCAGATAGTCATAAGGGTGCAGATTCGAGGAATTGGGCGCCGGATATTCCCACCGAGAAGCTCAAGGCGGATTATAAAAATGCGCACATGAGAGAGAAAGAGAGAGGTCGCTTGAGAGGTGGTAGTAAAATGGGGGGAAGTAGAGGACGTGGCGACAGAGGCGGTTCTTCCGATACGAGACGAGAGTTTGCGAGGGAGAAATCGACGAGATCGGCTTGAATATTGCGGAGCTTATTAATTTTATAATAATCCGCATAAGGGAAGTTTCTGGACTAAGGATGATAATTTTTCGATCTTGGGTGTTATGGGCTAGGAAGGACAGGAAATTGTGAAATGGGGAGTTGGATGAAGATACTGTTTGATATGGTTTTGTAAAGATACCCGTGGCGTGCGACTTCGCGTTTTGCTTATGTTTTCTTTTTCTTTTCTTCTTTTCTAGTTTACCGTTTTTCTCTTTAGTTCTTCTTGTATCTAAGACATCAGATAGAGCAGTCGATACTCCGCAATTTCTTTGTGGTTGTAGAATATAAAGAATGGAGTACATGTTACAAAAATGAAAAAATGAAGACCCTTCTAAATCTTAAATGTTCATCGATCCATCACTTCTATCTACAAAAAAAGGACTCTCTAAATCTATAACCTCCGCAGTCCCCTCACTTCATCCATCAAATCAATCACATCCACCATATCCCTACACTCCATCAATCTCATCCTCTCCTCCTTCCCCAACAACCCATTATTCCCCCCATTCTGCGAACGATCTGTGCCGCACATTTCGCTTAAATGATGCACCACGAGTTTAAACGGTATAGGCTGTTTGAGCACCTGATTCATAAATACATCGACGCATTCCCAAGGGGTCGATGTGTAGCCCGCGAAGAGGGCGGGATTCTCGAGAAGTCCGCGGGCGGACATAACGCCAGAGACACCAGTGTGCGAGGTATGATGGAAGGCGTCAGAGAGAGTGAATATGTCGCCGTTAGAGAGGGTAGGGACGGTGGTGTGGGCCGTGAGAAGTTTTATAGCTTCGAGATTTACGGGGTGGGAGGAGGGGGTTGAGCGCATGCGGCCGTGGATGGTGATGAAGTCTACGCCGGCATCTTGGACGGTTTTGATGAAATCTATCGTTTCTCTGGTATTTTTGTTAGCGATGATTTTCTACTCCTTTCTCTCTTCATTAGGAAGCTAAAAATATATACCGTAAATCCCGATGAATTCTAATCTTCACACTGACAGTTTTCTTTCCCTCAAACCCACCTCTCTTCAATGCACTTTTTGCTTCCTTCACCATTTCCGCGACAAGTTCTCGCTTGTGCATTAATGCGGCGCCGATCGAACAGGCGCAGGCCCAGGATTGTGGACATCCGCAATTTATATCTACGCCATTTACGTAGGGGCGAGGAGGGTGGTGGAGCGGGAGATTTCGAGAGGGGAACAGACGCCGAATTGGGCGATGGTTGGGCCAGAGGTGGGGGAGGTTGTGAAATCTGGGGGCTAGAGTTAGTGTGTGGGAGACAGTGGAAAAGAGGCTGTGGGAAAGACTGCGAGAATGGTTGTCGGGAGTTGTGGGTCAAGATGGGGCTGGATGCAACCTTGCTGCTGGAGGATATGCAAGTGTGCATATGGGCACATCTCGATGAGATTTTCTGTTCAATTGAACTCATATAGCCTCTCTGCGCTTTGATTGCAAGGCATGCTAACAACGAAAGGACATATGATATCGCGAATATGAACAAAGACTTCTCTGTTGCCGCTGATCGATACTCATCAATCTTGACCCAAACACGATCAAATAGACAGACCTAAACTCCTTCACCTTGCCATAAATCCTCACCCCCAAATCGCAAGTCACTCGACTCCACCCCCAAAAACAACTCTCAGCTCTCATCGAAACACAATAAAAACCACGTGCTCACCCGAATCACGTGCAAAAACACTGCGATTAAATTCTTTTGCCAAAATCTGCTCTCATCTCATCTCAGCCCATCTCTCTTCATATCCATTCTACCCGCATCACCAAATTCTCCAGACGAAAAAAATAACATACCATCGGGGTCCAACAAAGATCAACTCCATACTGCGCGACTGTTTCTCGAAAAGCAAGCTATGTCTCATCAGTCGAGAATCGAGATGCGGTAGTACAAGAGAGAACTCTTACTTTACTATAGCGCACCATAGGTGCACAGGTATAGAGAGGTCTTTTTTCTTTCTGCGCGATGGAGAAGAGGGTGAGGGGACTGGGAGGGTTAGTTGGTGTTTTTCAATGAGGGGGGTTTGAGGGATAGGTGAGTGAGTGACAGACTTTATTTCTAAGGCGGGGTTTGGGGCAACGCCATTGTGCTCGGTGGTACTTGTCATCTCTTTCTTCTTAATGTTTTTAGACGATTGGGCATTTTATTTCGTAAATAATATAGGGAGAATATATCACGTTTTGGTATCATGGATTCTTTGGTGAGGAGTTGCGAGGAAATGTTGGGTGGTGGCGATTTAGTGCGTTCGGTAAAATTTCTAGGGTGTTTTTGGGCTTTGGGATTTTGTGATGGTGGTTTATCAGAGAGCATTCGATATGTTTGTGTGTATCGCATCAACCATTTCGACTAACAAATTATTCTAATCAAACATTGCCATGGTAGATTGCACAGTTAGGGGTTTCAGCAAGGTAATGGCTGTATCTGCACCATCTAAAATATTAGCGTTGTCCATTGAATTCTTCCCTGCGATGGGCTTGTTGATCTCACGATCCAGCCAAGATCCGTACTGTTCGTCGGGTGTCAAAGTTGATCATCCAAAAGAATGAAATAGGAAGTATATCGATTGCTTTCGGTACCTAGGTAGTGTTGGAGTTCTATCTCTCATTGGTATAATCAATGTCATGATTGTGGTATTACAAACATGGTCACTTCCATATTGAACCGAGTCTTCATGTTCTGTGCTTTTGATAGCATTGTCATTATCCTAATTAGTCCGCAGGCTACGCTCAAGACCCATTGTACATCAAAATCACATTGATCCTGCTTTCCATCGGAACATCATTCATCGCTCACTAATTGCGCGATTGGCGACTGATTATCCGGAACTGTGAAAAGATTCGTCCAGACAGGTCTCTACCTCCGTGCCCCATTGGTGTTGCAAGCTTCGGCATTTCCTTATCGTGTGGCAACATGACGCCTCGTCCCTCTCCATGAACTTTGAGACGGTCAACTAGAAATTTTTAGGCTAACGTGTGCTCCTTTGAAGAATCTCGTACTTTTGATTGACGAAAAGTACTCCACGGCAATATCTGTCTAGCCCCCAGGTTCGGAGAAATCTAGAGGTGAACTTCGTCTGTCCAGAACTGAAGAAGATGAGTTCTTCTACCGGACATCCCCAGGGATAGACGCGCTCGAAAAAGAATTTAATTCTATCCGAATCATTTCCCGTATCGACCGCCAAAAACTTCACGCCATTCTCGATGAATTTCTGGGCAAGATCGTACGCAGCACTCCGGTCATCATCATGAAGTTTCCTGAAGTTATGTACCTTTCCAACCTTATAATCAGAGACACACAAACTATTGGTCCAAAAATCCTCGACGTGGTCTATGACGATCCTGTCAACTTTCCAGTTTATGTACGTTCTGGCCGGATGCTCAGGTACTGTAACCAATCGCGCTTTTCCCTTCGAAGTTTCCGGAACCCACTCCAACAGCTTGTAATACTCCAATCCTTGAGTGCGAGCTTCCGTGCAAGCACGAAGGACCGCCGGTACAGTGCTTGTGCACTTATATCCGAAGTCTTCGCTCCATCTTGGGTAGCCTTCTCGTTCCTTCCATGGCCGATATTTCCCAATAATGATATTTCTGGGGTCGTTGAAGATCGCCAGCTCCCAGATCTTTGATCGAAGTTCCGGGAAAAGCTTCGGAAATAAAGTGAACGTGGTAAGAGATGTCGAGTTTTGTGGCTGACTTGCTACAGAATTCTTTGTTTTGGCCATTCTTGTCGTTTAAAAAATGCAACAAGTGCTGAAGGATAGAGTGTATCTTTGGTCTGTTGATGCTCGCAAGGCAGTAAGTAAAGTTATGTCTATTTATCGGTCGATGCCTACCGTATTAGAAGCCACCGCGAATACTAATGAAGTTTTGTTTGTGGACGAACTCATGATGCTCGATCAAAAATTAATATTAATGGTGATTCGCACGACGAGGAGATAAGAAAGGGAAAGAGGAGATCAGGAAGGCTAGAGGAAGGAGGAACCAAGCAAACCCACTAGCATGTCGACGGTCGCAAAGTCTTGAGGGCTTTAGTCCTGATTTTACCTACCCATCCTATTTTTACAGACGGCGCTGCCTCAGAAGTGTGCTTGAAAGTAACCCGATTGAAAGATTAGAAAAGGAAGGAAGTGTCCATAAACACACCACTTCACATTCTACATGGAAGGATAAAAAACACATAGAATAAACAGTATAGAATTCCGAAATAACCTCGATATCAAGCTGCACGGTTGAATGGTTTGTATTATATGACTTCATCTCGATATATCTATAACACAGGTTGTTTTGAGATTGGTATGTGGTAGTAATAGAACGATATCGATTATATAGTTCAAAAGTTTTGAAATGAATGATGGTATATCCGCCACGTGACTTTACGGGGTAATCAGATCTATTGTCATGTACAGGAACGAGGAACGACCCAACTTGAGCATTAAACATTGATCGGAATTCCCTCAGTCTCCTTTTCCAGAACGTACTTGACAACGGCGCAAAATCAAAATAGACCAAGACACATTGTCGGCACGTGATCCAAGATTTTTCAGCTTCGAATCCAATATTGCGTTCTTCTCCTTGAGCTGACCGAGTGATGTTTTCGGGGCTGATGATGAGTTGTACTCGGCTCGATCCTCTCAAGTCAGCCTTGCACCCGAAAACGCATTATCAATAAATACGTGCAGGCCGTGATTCGGGATCTATGTCGGAAGTGAAAATATGAAACTTTAATGATCGGAGAGATTGCCAGTTTAATCTTCAATTCTCCTGTTGTGCAAGCTGGGGTGCTAGCTAGCTCATGCCGTCTAAAGCGTCTGCATAATTGGCAGAACTTTAGCCAAAGAATGTGATGCTTTGGCATATGTTGACACCGCACACCCGCTGCAACACAGCAGCTCAAAGTAGCAGATCTTATTTTTCATTGGAGTGATTGACGGGCTCGATCTAGCGAAAACTCAATGTTTCTTGGGGTCGCCGTGGCTCACATGAGAATTCTTCGCCAGTAAATTGAGAGATGTCTCCCACACTGTCGGAATCCTCTAATTTATGAGACATGATTCCTAATCAGGTGAATCCAGCTTCAATTTAGATGATGTGAGAGATGAACCACGCGGGTCTTTAGATGATGTCGATGTTGTGACTACTGATGTAATTGAGGAAATGTATATAAGAAGAAGCTGAGAGACACGATGATGCTCATATTTCCTTTTGAGTTCCTGCTGTTATGGGGTAGATTTAGATCCCCGGATTTTATATTATTTCATTGTTGAACAGGCCAATATATGGTCCCTTGCCTATCGTTGCATTGGCGATATTGAGACATTTGCAAGGTGTTGAGGAGGTCCACCGTCCATACATGCACCTACGTCTGCATTCCCCACCCACTGAAGCCTGTAAATTAAACGAAGATAACGAATTGATTCATCCATTGTGTGATGAAGATGGATCCAAATCCGAGGTATGAAAAGCAAAAGATACCATTCAATTACTCTTGTTTTCTTTACACTTTGGCTAGATGAAAGATTCAATCTCTCAATTCCTTCCATCTCGAGTCTGCTGTTTCTCCTCTTTCGAGAAGGCTCCAACTTCGGGTTGCATTGTTCATCTCACTCCCGCCACAAGTTCCGAACTCAAAGGGCAACGAAACAGTTGGAACTTGGAGTAGGTAGCACTTGGAAGTTGGTGGACGAATGGAATAGTACGTCAAGATCAAGATGATATATAACCAGGCCTCGTAGCACTGTTCAGTGTTCCAATTCGGATTCCACAGAAACATCCGTTTAGGTTCAGGGTGCTTTTGTTACTCATCGATAGTAGCATTTAATCTTGGTGTGCTATTTATTTCATCCACCATCCATTGCGTGAGAGGGATGGAGCTTACACTTGGAACTTGGAGGCAATAAAGGCGGCTGTGCCTTAAAATAGTATGATTCCTCTATGCTCTATCAGTGGTTCGTTTGTATCGAATGGGGAATTCTACGTCCGTCCCTCCACTGTTTCTGCGCTTTAGCCATTGTCTGGGATCACCTCCCTGCACATAAACGCTCCACCCTAATCTTATTCTGCATCTCCTACTACCTAGGCGCGCGATCAGTACTCTTTTACGGCGTCGGAATGGGGTAGGGCATACGGAAACGGAAAAGACTCGAGCACATCAGGGTCGTGTTCTTGGGTTTATCATTTGCAACGATATGGCTAGTTATGGCTGACACTACATTTTCTCCTTTAGAACCACGACTTTTTCTTCATCCTCTTCCTCTTCCTCTTCCTACCCATCTCACACAACGTACACAGATTCATTTAATTGTTTGCGAAAGGATCAAACACCACATTCACTCAGTAGTCTGCGAAAGGATCAGACATCTCACATTAAGGTTAGAAACAACCGAAAGGATCGAGACATCTTAAAGAAGCGGCGAAGATCCAGCCAACACGATACAACCTCAATCTCTTATCCTACATATAATACTCTCAAACTTCCTGAAAACGATCTTATCATTTGGGAAGGAATTATATGGGAAATGCAATCACCACGACAAACCACTCGACCGGCATCGGCAGGAAGTACGAGTACCTTTGATTCAAGACCTCGAAGTCCATTGAGCACCAGTGCCTCAATTGACGATTTATCCAGCTTGGCCAGTGATATGTCGTCGGTGTCGAACAATTACTCAATCAAATCGGCATCAAGAAGTACGATTCAGGTAGGACCCACAAGGTCCCAAACAGATCCAATCTCCAATCGATATGAATTTGAGCCCAGACCACCAGTTCGAACAACCCTCCTCGAGCCTCAACGGTTGATGCAGGAACCTGTATCTTGGACGAATTTTGTCTCGCAGCCATCTTTAGGAGAGGGCTTGCTCAAACTTCCCGAAGAAATACTTTTGGTCATTCTGCGGGAGCTCAAGAAATCACATCTAAAAGCGGGGAGCCTAAGTTGTGCAACATGTTGGATGAGGGATCTGCACAGTCTTGGATTGAGCAACAAGAAATGGTGGAGTGCTGCAAGAGTTATTCTATATGAAGACATACAGCTTGTTGGAAGCGATTCGAGTTTGCATATGAAGAAAAAATACAAGTCGAAACATGGAATCAGGTTGAGACTCCTTCGTCGAACTCTTCGAAGTCAACCAGAACTCGCCAAATATGTCAAATCATTGAAAGTTCCTTCAATGCCAGACTCGGCCAAAACGAAACAAGACCAGGATGAATACATGGATTTGGTGGCTTCAGTGATCATGGCATGTCCAAACTTGGAACGCGTCCCAGGAGTCTATCAGCCATACGACCATGAATTTACGAAATTCTTCCATGCATTAGGGACACGATCGAAACTCGTCGAGAAAGTTTGGATTATCGAACCAAGTCCAATACGTCGTCTTTACAATGCATCTGATGAAATCGAAAACCCTGTGATTGTACCAGGCCCCTTACGCTCTGAACAATATCTCGATTTCTTGGGTCTCAATTCGAATTGGCCACATTTGCAAACACTCGTTCTTCATTGTAGTCCCGGTGGCATGATTGATTCACCTTTATTCACTGATATATTTGGACGTCTTCCATCGCTTCAGGATCTATATATATCGAACTTCCCACGTACTTCTTTCAATGATGAAAACTTGCTTTCTCTTCCAGCTCTCAAAAAACTTCGACTCGATTCACTTCCAGGCATAACCTCAAATGGATTAGCAGCCTATGCATCATTACCTACTTCAGCTAGTCTTACCTCACTGTCTTTAATATCATTGCCACTCCGGTCGCTCGCCATCCTCGCTCGATTTTTCACTCATCTGAAGAACCTCAAATCATTCTCTTTATCTCAGGGTCCTTCTCCTATGCTCAATGACCAGAATGATATCTTTTTACACCCTTATCTTGCCTCGTCCACTCTCGAACACCTTCACTGGGAAATTACGAATCCTGATGACGACAAGGCTTCTGAGATCCTTGCTAAATCTATCACTTTCTCCGGATTTCCCAATCTAAAGTCTATTCGTGCCCCAACTGACTTCAATGGTATGCTTCAAAGGCTTTGCAAACCAAGGTCAAGAATTGAATTACCAGGAGACAAGTATCGAAACATGGGGGTTGGTAACCCTCAGAATCGAGCGGCGACTATGCCTGCCACTATACCCGTAATACCTCCACCCAATCGCCAATCGATATTCTCTCGACAGAGTGAGCGCCGCGATAGTGTGATGACTGGAAAATCCTCCAATTCGTCTTCGCTGTCTCTTGCATATGAAACTCATATAGACGGGAGCGGCAAACATGAGATGATGAGTTTGTTGAGTGCTCGACATGCTGCTCAACTTCGGATCGATACTGCTACAACACCACAGTTTGATATAATAATTTGGGATGATGATGGACAATTCCTCGAGAGGTTCAAGTTAGGAACTTTCATTGGAAAAGTGGAGAGTAAGATTGTATACAACTTGAAGCCAGATATTGAAGGCAGTGATGAATCTATCATGAGTGTCGAAACACTTTTAGAGAAAGGAGTAGAGTCAAAGTCTAGTGATGGTTGTACGGGAAGTTGGAATATAGATCTAGACTCAAAATCGAAAGATAGAAAGAAGAGAGATTGGTGGTGGCATACTGAGAGGGAAAGATGGAGAGAGACAAAACTGGCTACTTTCTTTTAATGTTGATTCTTATGATACCCAGGGTATGGTGTTTATGTCGAAAAGTTTTATGTCTATCATATTTTGGAAGTTGGGAACTTATTACTATTGGGTATTATATACTGTAAATTTAATATTAATTATTGTCTTTCAATTCATTTTTTGATATCTTATCAGACTTATCTGTACTACTTTTCCTTTGGTCTTTCATTTTTCACACCAGGCATATCTTGAGCTTGTGTTAACAGCGTTATAAGATTGACATGAATGACAGTTCTCAACTCTCATCCGAACTACACCCCTTTCTCTTGACATTCACTTTCACAGCTCAGCCCCCTCACTGCCTGGCTCGAACTTAGCAGCAGCCTGATCTTGAAAGATCTTCCGATTTCTTTTCTACTACCTCCTTTCTCGCTTTCCGAATTTCTTTCAATACACAGCCCACCATACCAAAATTCGAATTGTACAGTACAAGACAATCCTTTCGACAATATTTAAAGTACTGGCTTCCACCAGCTTGCACTTTTTTCTTTCACAGATTTTGATTTGATTGATAAGATAGAAATTGTTGCAGATTCATCTTGTCTTGTTTCTTCTTGTCGCTTGTCAAGTTGTCGCAATAAATTCTGTTTGCACATTTACAAACAAACCCGAGCAACCCCTACCCAACCCGACCTCGAACAGGAAATCAAAGTCACTCCTCAACAACCTGATCGATCTATCTCAGAACTTCGATAAATCCTCGGCCTACACACAAACCTCTCACACCATTCTCCATGACCAAAACAAAGATGTCTCTCCCACTCCTCCCAAAGCGCGGTCTCAGCCCTCGCGAAGTCACCGCTCTCCTCGTCATGGTCGCATCCCAACTCATCATCGGCGTCATGATGCTGCAGATGATGATGGCCAATCAAGGTGTTAACAATGTTGGTTTCACCGAAGTTCTTCGTACCGTTCCACCCCCTTTCGAAGGTGCACATTGCGAGGCTCAGATGAATGACAAGAACGGAATGAACCTCAGTGGAAATGTCGACTGTAGCAACTTTAAAAAAGACGAAATGATGAAGCCTTTCAAGATGGGTCCAGGAATCGATGTTTCGGAGTATTTGCTGAGAACTAAAATCGACATCGGTAATCGGATGACATGTCATCGAACTTTTGTGATGGAGAAAAAGAGTTCTCTGATTAAAGGGCTTTGGGAAGTTATCGAGGGTATCTACGCACTTGAGGAAATGGCTGCGGTTTCTAAGAGTGACGATAGCTCTGCTCGAAATTCTGGCGCTCAGCGCGTTTTTCGAAAGGGAGAGGCGGCTACAGATGGTGTCAAGGAAGATTGGGAGGTCGTCAAATTTGCGCAATATCCTGCACATCCCGCTGCAGAAAACAATCAATTCCGCGCCGAGATCTCATACATGGAGGATCGAGTTACCAGGTTCCGCAAGTCGGTGGAGGAAATCATGGAGAAGAATGATGTGGAGGGAGTTTTGAATATGGTTCGGAAGAGTTTGAAGGGGTTTGGATCGAATGAACAATTTATGCAAGGGGAGAAGAGTGATGGAAATTCTGAGGAGAAAATGAAGATTGCTCAGAAGAGTAAAGATAAAGTTAATCGCGCATTGTCCGGTCTGTGGGAGATTTTTCAAGACATGGATGAGGAGATGAAGGATACTGAGCGCTGGTTGAGAGATACAGAGGCGGCTTTAAAAGACGTTGTACATGAGTTTAAGATGGAGTGGAAGATTTGAAATGATGTGGTTTCATATGATGTGATGGGGTGTCTGCGCGTCCAAGGGACTTTGATCGATTACTTGCATACATACATACACACGCATACGACTAGATTGGGCTACGATTATTTGATTTTTCAGATTTCGGTTTCTGCTTGCTCTTTTTACCTTTCGACTCTGAGCTTGCATCGATCGTTTCGTTTGCATCTTACGTTGTTGGAAAGATGATTGATGGCACATTAAAATATGATACGGTTCGATGGGCGGGGGAAAGAAGGAAGAAGAAATGAAGACGACTTTTGTACAATACTCCTCACGAACAATACATGATAAGATAAGATAAAAAAAGAAGAGACTTACTGCGGATTCATCCTGCTGGAAGATTCGAGGAGAAAGGAAAAGGGATCAGATACTTTGTGTAGTTGTCTTTGGTACATCTCATTTTCGTTTCGCACACGAGATAGATACCTGGTTCTTTAGTAAACTAGGGATATCATAATGATAATTGTACCACATTACTTGGCTTGATCTATTTGTGTCTGTGTGTGTTTGTACTGTTCTTTTCACAGTAACCACAGGTAAGTATTCATTTCATTCACTTCCATCTCCCTTCCCAAACCCCCAAACATCACGATCCACATCCCCCAATACCACCACATCACCTCCCTCCATCCAACCCAACGCAACCCGAAAGCAATCAATCCACACTCTCCAAGCCCCCAACCCCCAACATCAACTCCCTAACCCCCCGAACAGAATCCCATCCCCACCCTACAGAACACACCTCACCCCACAGGACACTCTTCAATCCCCGAATGCAAATAATCAAAACTCTGCACCAAGCCCGCAAAATGCGCCAGCGCCGCAAGTACAACCATGCAATGCAGGATTTGATGACTATTCCCGTAGATATCGAAACGGCCTGGGTAGTATTTTTCTGGGATCTATTGTGCGTGGTTAATTTATGTCTCTTCCTTTTTCCTGCTGCATCCGGATTGTAATTCCAAGTGCATTCTACATCGAGCCTTGCGCACTAACACTTCACACCTGGGAAACCTTGCAAGATTCCAGTTCCCAGATGTACAGCTGCATCGGGGAAACACAGAACTAGCAATAAGATAAAAAATAGAAAAAACTCACCCGCAAACTATAAGCCAACGCCCCCACAAAATTAAGTCCCGCCATACCCACTATCCAACCCAAACTCAATCGTTTGTACTGCAACGCAATGCCATAAATAATAATCGAATGAACGATGAAAATTACAGCCGACAGACCCAAGGCTGCATACATGAGGGTGCGGTAGGGACGGAAAAATGGGGTGCGGAAGGGAGGAACGAGGGTGAAGAGGGTTAGGGCGAGAGAGAGGAGTGTGATCTGGGGGTGGGGTTAGCGGGGAAATGAGGAAAAAGGGAGACGAAGAGAAAGAGAGAGGGACAATGGAAGAGAAGGGAGAAAGTACCATAGACCAGTAGATTCTTTGTAGTTTAACATCACATATAAATCCGTGATAGATAGTCGCAACAGTACTTCCCCACATCAGAGCCACGATACCGAGATAATCGAGCTCGATCCAGAAAGCTGCGGTTTGGTGACTATGGTTATTGAGGGTATGATATCTGCAAGTGCAAATCCAGAATCAGCATCAGGTTTCAGAATGAGGAGCTAGGATAGAGGTGACATCTGATGGAGAATATGGCGATATCAGAGGCCAGAGATGAGGAAGAAAGGGATATGAAAGGTATGAAGATACAAAGAATGTAAAGGATGAGTCGAAAGAAAGGGGGGTGATGGAAATCCCCATGCGAAAAACATACACAAAGCTCAACCCAAAACAAACCGCCACGCCCCCGAAAAACAATGCAAAAACCACAAGATCTGCTGTCGCAGCATCGTTGTAGCGAGGTAGTAATGTATGATATATATAAATGGGTAGGAGTGCGAATAGTACTGCGCCTATGAGATGGGAATGTATATTTACTGTTTGGGTTTTCTTATTAGTTTGAGAGATAGATAGATATGTGAGAGGAAGGAAGGGAGCAAAGGGGAGGGAAGGAAGAAGATTTATTACTTGTTTCATTGTGCAGATGAAATACACTTCTGAAAGATCGGAGTGAGGATTTGGTTTCGGGTCTAGATGAAAGAAGGGGTTAGTTTGGTGCGAAGATGGGGTGATGGGTACATATATGTATATGTAATATTTTGACAGGAAATGAGAATGAGAATGCGAGAAAACGTACCGATATCCAGTAAGAATATATTCATTATCCTGTCTCCATTCCGCTGTGAGGAATCATCAGTAGGAATACTTCTCAACTCTTCACTTCCCATAAACCTTCGCAAGCAGATTCGCACCATCGTGATATATCCCGCAACATGAACTCCAAAGAAGAAAATCAGAAGAAGAAAAAAACTCACAAACTTCATCCCACCTCAAAATCTTTCCCATCCTCTCCTCCCCTTCATTCCCACTCCCATCCCCATATCTCCCCACATCTCCACCCTCTAACTCTATATCCTCATCTCTAACCAACACCTCCAAACCCCCCATCGACAAACCCGTCGCATTCCTCTTCAACCCCAACTCCGCATCATCATTTTTCTCCCCTCTCTCCTCCATATCCCCATCCCCATACAAACCCACACCCCCAACCCTACCCCTCCCAATAATCAACGCCTTCTCCGGAACTTGCACCTTATCCCCCTCATCCCCCTCCTCTCTCGTCACAATCAACGTTGTAGCCGAAGAAATATGTCTTACATGTTGTCTTGCCTTACCCATCCGATTTCCACTCACAATTTCATCTCCATTCCCATTCTCGCCAGCATAACCATTTCCATTTCCGTGAACATTGACATTCTTCGCATCCGCATCCGCATCCTCATCCAACCTCTCATTCTCTAAATCCGATGCGAAAAAAGGATATGCACCTGCATATCCATATCTTCCCTCATCCTGCCCTGACAAGGAATTTGACATATCCTCTTGAATTTGAAATCCCTCTTTCCCTTGCTAGGAAAGATATGAGAATGAAAAGCAGAGAAAGCAAGGAAAAAGAAAGAGAAAAAAAGGACAAGAGAGGGAGAAAGATTTCAATCCTTCAACTTGACAAAAAATGAAGCACCACCTATTTTCAAAAGATCAATCATCAATTTTTGTTATTATTTAGGTTCTTAGATTTGATTTTCTCGAAGCTCCGGGCGAACAAGTGACACGAGGGTAAGCAGGTGAATTTTTATTTAATGATTGGCAAGACGAAAATGAGAGTGTAGTATTTATGGATTCCAGACCTTGTCTTAGGACTGTTTGTGTATGCAAATATTGATATCTTTCAATCAAGAATGAATCTCGAAAAGAAAAGGGGAGAACAGATAGGTTGGCTCACTGGTTGGTGAAAAGAAATAAAATCCCAGGTCGGGACAAAGTCAAGTGTGGACCAGAGATCATTAAGTATAATCATTCCTCTATCTGCTATGGACCTTCTATCCCTCTATCCCAACAGCCCAAGCCTGCGAGCACCGTTTTGCTCCGCCAAACCGTATGATGGGCCTCAAATATCTAAGATAACGATTTTGAGGTCCTGCGAAGACATGTAAGCAGGTAGATCCTACCAAATTAAAGATTTTTAAAAAATTAAATTCTCATATCACTCTAAGCAACATGTGCATTTAGTGACAAGATTAAATCTGCCTGCTAAACCTGAGTAGCTAATATCGTGTGTGAAAAGGGGAACGAAAGCATGCTAGAATATTTTTCATGATCGTGATGTATTGTCACGAAGACGATTGTTGGAACTTGCGTAAGACAAAAGGTACATTGTCGAAGACTGATCTGACCAATAGTATAAGAAATGAAACTAACTTTTTGGGGCAAGAGTGGGTGCTCGATTAATCTGCCACCTGTTGGTGTCCCAGACTAGGCGCTTAATGTAAAAATTGCGACGAAACCATTTATACTCCTGTCATCACCTGACTTGATGGGAGCTGTGCCTAGTTAAAGATAATCCTTCTTGGGTTGAAGGTTCCAGTATATTTTCTGGTCATATCCCCAGTTCATGTAACGGAACAGAGAATCTCAAGTTAGAGATTAGTTTGCCTCCAATTAGCATTTGAAAATTGCGGAGAGGCAATTTCGCTGTCCCTAAATAGTAAGGTCATAAATAGAGCAATAGTTATTTCAAAATGCAGTATCAACATCCCCATATCGTCGATATGTGGTCTCATGTAGTCATGATTGAGGGGCTCCAGCGTATCGTCAGACTATTCAGGTACCAACTGGAGGATCGACAATTGCGCCAGAAATGGGATCGGCAGTCAAGTCAGTGCCCCTTTCCACTTCTCTAGTAAGTAATGCCATGCCTCTGTCGGCAACGCTGACTATATTTTGTAATTCCCTCAATGCCCGTTCATTGTTATTGTGGAAGACGCCATCAATAGATTTTTTGTAGTTTGATGTTGTGTTGTGATTCTTTTGATATATTTCAGCATCGTAAGTATTTGGATCAACTTCAGCATAGGTTGACTTTTCATGTGGATTCTCCATTTCAGAAGATGTTTTGGATACCAACTCGAGGGGTAGCGAGGCGTTTGTACCCATGACAGCTTCCACAAACCTTTGATCAAAAGATTGATTGTGTCCAGTAGGGTCGTCAAGATCATAATTGGGATGTTCCGAATCAAGGTCTGGACTGTAATCATCATAACCAAGTTTACTGACTCGAAGAATCTTGAGATTGAGACCTTCAGTATCTCGAATGGCTGGAGCAACCCATGTGCATTCCTCAGGCTTCTCGATATTTTGGTGACCTATCCATAGACTGGTATTCTCTCGATCCGTCGAACCATTAACTTTCAGACCGATATCATTCAAGTATAATTCTGTCAAGGAATGACTGGTTTCCTTGATCAAAAGCAGCAGCATCAAAGGGTCTAGGTCCATCCGTTTTAATTCCAAACACCTCAACTTGCTAAGGACAAGTCTTTTGCTAGGATAGTATGGGAGGCACCGCATGGTCCACTGTTCGTTAGTCATCCTGGACGCGACTCTTTTATTTCTTATACGTTTGGTGGTTTGCGCCACGTTCCATCCAATGATACACAAGGTTTCCAAATCCTTGGCTTTCCCAATTAACAACCAGAAATTTCGAGCAAAAATTGTTTGTAGTGATGTTCTGCTTTCTTGTCTCTTGAATGATATCACTAAGCTTTTCAGATTTTCAAATACTTTGAAAGCATTTTCGACATCGATGTGCACGTTGCATAGACTATTGATCGTGACATCAGTGATGTGATCTAGAACCAATGTATCTATTTTCTGGTGTTCCTCTGGACGACTCGCCGCACATGCTAGAGTGTTCGCGAATAATCTTGTAGATGTCATGAAAGAATTGCTGACAACCTGGAATGGTAGGTTGATCTTAAGTCGAGTGATATCTGGGCCGTTCTGCATGACTCTGCGAACTAGACGACTGTAATCCTCCTCTGTAAATGTTGTCTTGTTGAGGCAATATGATCGAAGGGAGTCAATCAAGTCTGCCATCTCAGGAACTGCAGCATAGATAGCGTTGAAGGTCTCTTTAAGTTGATCGATTTCATCTAACAGATGTGTTAGCTCTGAAATGCCTCGCTGATAGATAAAATGATACAGCGCGAACAGTATATAGACTGCTCAATGCGCATATAAAGTGACGTGATGCGATTGAGGGATGAGGGGAAAGGTATCAATGCATACCTGTATCTCGAGTTATCATCATATCGATGTAGATGGAGGATGACAATGAAGCTAGATCTTGGAGAGTTTTCAATTCATCTGGATTGTCATCGATATTTCGGAATCGGATGAATCGCGAGAATTCCAACGAGGTTGTCTTAAAGATTGATGATTTTAAGCCCTGATCGAACGCTTTACATACTAATCGCAAATCCAAAAGTTGGGATTTATGATCGCGACACATCTCGATATTCTTCTGAAGAATCGAGTCAAGAATCTCAGGCGGAAGTTGATCCATGATGTCGTTGGATGCTCGTTACACCGAATGTGATGGAGTATTGAGATGACGTTTATTTTAGATTTTGAAAATGATAGTATATTTGAAATCTGTGTAGTTATGAGTAGGAAAGGTTGGGTGTGAAGCAGTCGTATTTTAGCCAGTCAATTATCACTGTAGGTGGTAGAGTAACAGTTGTTAATGGAGTCGCGGTACTGAATTGGAGTGGTGATGTGGTGTTCTTGGAATTGTTTCGTGATGTGATTGGAACTTTGACAATTAAATAATTTTGTGGGGAAGGCGAACAATCACAGCCGTGCATGCAAGGCTGACCAATTAAATGATGAGGCTAGCGACCTACCTGGTAATATTTGAAGGTATTATTAGCTAATAACTAGTTCGTTCGTCCTATGAATGGATTTAGTACTGTTGTCACCCTTTTACCTACCTAGCACGTGCCTAGTACTTAACACAGCTACGGATACATATATCGAATGCTTTCAGATGAGATCGAGGAATTTGCATCCGATTTTCACCGTTGATGATATGATTATTAAGTAGATCGACGCGGTCTCAAGACTAGCTACTGTGTGCTTTATCTACCTTGTATTGGTCTCGTGAAATTCGACCGAAGTTAGGCACTCAAACTATAAACGGAGAATATTCAACCAATGGTGAGCCTAACCGCCAGCCACATCTGAAAGCCAAGACGGCTTCTTTGATAAGGCTGTGTGTATTATAATGTGTGTCTACTCTGCGTGTGAGAGCCACGAAGACCGTGTATTTTACACCACTTTGAGCACTACCGATGGAGACCAAACGAGGAAGGTGGACCACTGTTATTGACGAATGAGTTCTTGGGAGAAGGATCCCCTCGATTTCGGTATATCTCTGTATCGTCACATTTCAACACTATCCCCTTATCTCATTGTGTTCTTTTACTTGCTTTCGAAACGACAGCATATGCATCTTGAGTAATCTCAGGAAAAGACAACGAATCATTGCATGAAGAAGACCAAGCAGTTATATCCACGTTCCTTTTCCGATACGCATTGCAGTATTTGACATGCAGACAGGAATTTAGGAACTGTGCACAATCTGGTGGTGGCTTCAAAGGCATACGGCCTAGCTTATGTACAGAGTACTCTTACAACAACACGGTATGCAAGAGCTCCTTTTTGGAAAGGGCTCAGCAGGCTTAGCAGGTTGGAAGAAGTAGATGTATTTCGATTCAACAATTCCGGACTCCACAGCCCCTTACTCTGAAATATCGAGTAAGGCTTCGGAAAATTATCTTATTTCACTGATTGGCAATTTCAAAAATACCATTGCCAAAGTCTACGAGAAGTTAAGCATTGCTTATTATGTCGGCATGTACATTTTCACGGTATCATCATTTCTTCAACATCTGTCGATATCTTGGCATCAAATCTCGGATGTGAGACTTCCCCTGCTGAGATCTACGAAACATCGTTACATCCAACCAGCATAGATGTCTCCACCAGGCCACATAGCTACCCACATGCTATCTCAACAAGCGCGGAACATTCGTAATGATCTCTTTCGGTTATGACAACATTCAAGGATTTAAGGATTTTCGAAAATCGAATCTCGGTGAGATTTCTCTTCAATCATAACGTATCAATCCGACCGACCCGAAGAGGTACAACATGTACCCACAAAAGGAACGATTATGTGAAGTAGAGTATCCTTTGCAAAGGTTTCAAGTTGGAAATTTCTCAGAAACACGAGCGGAAAGCAAAGACGTTTTAAGGGCGATAAAGGCATTGCGCAGAGGGGAATAGACAGACCCATGTTCTTATGCCTAAGGGATGTTTAAGGGGCCAAACAGAAAGCTTGGAAGAGCACAACATATTATCTATCGCCTTGGCTAGGGATTTCTTTGAAAGCTGTGCGATTGCACAATTATCGCCCACTTTCCATTTGCGCTGTTCGGACCTCACGCCAGCCTGCCTGCGCTTCCTCGTACTGG